CCTTGTGGGATTTCGACAGCGACGAGGAGTCCCGGGAGGAGCGGCGCGAGCAGGCCGCCTTCCGGCGCGCCATCGACGACGTCGACGCCCTCCAGCGGCTGCTCGCGGCGAAGGAGGTCGCCCTCGCCGCTGCGAACGAGCGGCTTCGCCGGCAAACCCGCGAGGATGTCGAGGCGTTGAAAGAGGCCGCGCCCGAGCCGTTTTTGCCCCCCGCGCAGCATCGCTGGGATCCGCATCGGCGGTATTATTTTTATTTATGGCGCCGCCAGACGGAGCGGCTCAGGCCGAGGCTGAAAACGAGGATCCTGGCCTTGGCGCGGGGGCTGGCGGCCCACTGCCCCTCGGGCGAACCCCACCCCAGCGAGCTCCCCAACACGACAACCCAGCGCGAAAGGGTTAACGGGGGGGGGAATATCGACGAGGAGGGGGTCTTCGCTTCGCCGGAGGAACCCTCGGAGGGGGCCGTCGCGGAGGCGCGCGCGGCGTTGGTCGCCACCCTCAAAGACGACCTTCGTGCGGGACTCAACACTCGACAACTTCGTCCGCCTCCCCCCAAAACCGACATGCGTCTTTTTTGCCATGATGGCAATCATTCGACACCCCACCCGATGATGCGGCATCCCCCGTCAGAATTTCTGCTTTCTTCCCTTTCGTCTTCGGGGCGAGGTCGAGGGATTTGGTCTTTTTTGATGTTGTGGTTTGTCAAGGTGCGGGTTTTGTTTTTGACGAAGCGGACCCTAGAGAGGACGCTAAACGCGCGGAATGACGGCAGGGATCGGTTTCGCGCAAACGACGCGGCTCTGCGGGCACTCATGCAAAAACTCATCGCCCCCTCATCGCGTCGGGGATCCAGCAACACGACGATTTCATCCTCCTCGACGAAGAGCCTCCTCGACGAATGGGAAACGGACGAAAATGAAAAATCGAGCGGCCGGTGGAATGGATTCGCCGGCCACGCGCCGCGCGAACCCAAAAAGGCGCATTCCCCGGGCCATTCGACCTACAGCGAGCGAGTCTTCGATGGCAATTCCAAAGCGGAAAGCGTGGAATGGGGCTGGGATGGGGCCTCGACGACGGGAGGGGAATCGAGCCCTTCGCTTTTGGCGCCCTCTTCGGAGCCGTCCCGGCAGGAATACGCGGAGGCGCTTCTTCAGTTAACCGCGGTCTCGATGCGGGAGGTTTGGGAGGCGCAAAACCAACATTTTTGTCTTGCCTGTGAGGAGCAAATTGCGGGAATGCGGAAGATTTTGCGCGAGTTCTTCGCCGAGTCGGGGATTTCTTCGTCAAGGGCGCTGGTGGGGAAACCGCCCATGGCGGGGTGTCGTTGGCAGGAGAGTCTAACCAAAAAGAAATCGTCCTCGGCGCCAAACATCGCACTCCTAAAACAAATTTATCTGAACATGGTATCCTGCGTGGGGAGGATCATCAGAATGAGAGGCTCCCTTTGGATGAGCCTCTGCCTTGCTGGAATAGCCTTGATAACGAGTCTTGCGCTACGTTAGGGAAAGGGAAAATAGGATTCTGTAAAGGGATGAAAGGAAAAAAAAAGATTTGCCCTTTTTTCTTCATCTCGGCAGATTCAATTGTTAGTAATCCCCCCCCAAATGATGTTATTTTCTGAAGCCATCATAATCTAACGCATGCTCGAGATATATTTATTGTTACTCTTACACAAACGTAGAGAGCAAAGAGGATTTATATTATTATTATTTTTTATTTTTCAGATAAACCTTTTTTTGATCGTAAGTCTACGAAGTATATCTTTTTTTCAATGAACGAAGATGTATGTCTTGAAAGCGTCATACAACACCCCTTCAAAAAATGAACTATTAGCAAAATATTCCTCTAAACATACACAAATATATATCTACTTATAGTATAAGTGTGTGCATTTTTTTTTTGTACTGAATACTATCACTTGTGTTTTCATATATATATATATGTATATATATTTATGTGTGTGTGTGTGTGTGCGTAAAATATTCATAGTTATGTGTGCATTGCATTTATTACTTGTCTCCATTTTCATGCCATGGATATATTCTTACTTATGCTGAAATGGAAATGAGAGTTTGGAGTAAATGAAATGCGCCTCTCGAAGAAATCTTTTTAAAATGAGCGATATTCGCTTTCCACGTAGTACATACACTACAGTGGAAAGAATACCCCTCCTTCCCATGTCTGTAGATTGGTAACTTACTAGCAATAGTTCCAAAAATCCTTTTGAAACGTTATGTGTCTGTCCAATTATCGAAGAAAGATATTAAATGCGCTATATATTTAGACCAATGAACTAATTGTTATATTTACTTTTTTAAAATTTCATTGTAGTTTTTATTGTTGTAATGGTTATATGGTACTAGTGTAGGTGTAGTCCTTCAAAATATTTATATGTGAATACCATTACCTTAAACGCCACCGGGAATTGAGAACGTATTGGAATCATTCCATTAGTGAAAGAACCATTAAACCGAATCTAAAGAAAGAAATTACAAGAAAAAACAAAACACAAAACACAAAAGGATACTAAAGGTTAGTTTTATCGTAAACAATGAAAAAAGAAAATGAGGATGGGCTTCGGTCGGTGGCGGATCGAATAGAGAGGGAGGTCTTAATTAGCAAAGAAGATGTGAATCGCTCGCAAATTAGCTGCGACGAATATATCGAACGTGGCAAATTATCAAAAATATTTCCCCCTCAAAGTACAGAAGCGAATAGTGAGATGGCAATTAGTAATAATAATTATACCTTGCCTTCTTTGTTTGAGCAATCCGAGCTCGACCTGCCTTTTTTTCTGCGGGATGGTTTAATGGAAAGCTGCAGGAAACTCCGAAGCTACGGGACGACTAGCGAAAAAAACCGACCAGACCATATTCACACTCACAATCCTCATGATCATCTTGAAATACCTAACGAAGAATGTAATTTCGATCATTCACGTCTTTCCGATCTCGCCGGAGGGAGGAATAATGAATATCATTATTGTTATTTGAAGGATCCCGTGGGCAGCGAAAAAAAAATTGTTTCAAATTATTCCTTTTCTTTGACGGATTGCCCTTATTCCGAGAGTGGGATGGATGGGGGACCCCCAGGGCTGCAAAAAGCGGATTCGAATCGCGCGCTTCCTGACGATGGACAAAACCTTGGCGAAAAAAAAGAGGAGAGGAATAATTCTTGTAAATTCAATGAAGAGGGGGGGAAAGGATTATTATTATTATTGAATAAATATCGGACAATGGAGATGATTTATCAACATTTGTTTTTCGCCCTTATGACGCTGTATGTTTTCATATTGCTCGGCTTGCGAATGGTCTGGAGGAATTTAATCACCCACATGGCGATGTATTATGTATCCTTATCGTCTTCCGCGAACAGTGTGGAAAAGGGATGTATTTCATTCGTGGAGGTGGAAATGATATTTATGGGCGCTTCTTTGCTCTTTTCCATTGTTTTTTTATCTTCCTCCCGGGGTGAGCCGCGGGGTTTGAGCGGTTTGCTGATTTTCGCCACCTTGGCGATTATCTGCGGGAGTGGTTTGGGGTTGTTGGTGTGGTTTCCCGTGGCGTTCTCTTCTTTTGCGTTACTATTTTATGTTTTTCTGGGCAGCGCCCTTATCGGCCTCGGGGAGGGGGTTCTTTTGCCGGTTTTTTATTTTTTTGCGAGCGCCGCAGTCAGGCCGGCGGCAGCGGCGGCGTTATTATTTATACTATTCGTTAGTACGTGGCTGGGTTTGCATTTTATCGTCGCCAGTGGGATGTTGGTACTGGAGACCTTCTATTTAAAGCACTTTTTGGGCATGATTATGATGGCGTGCGTGGCTTTTGGCATCTTTGCGATTGCAGTGCTTTATTTCGTTCATGCGGAGGTGCCGTCGAGAGTATTTTCCACACGGCCGGGGTTTTG